CAAATGCAGCCCTTTAGTTGTCAGCTGTTGATTGTTTTGAGGAGTACATTCCTCCTTAGTATTATTGGACACTTTATCAGCCTGTCTATTGTTTGACTGAAAGGGTGGGTTCATTTCCAGGCTTGAAGGGTGTCTAAGAGTCACAGTGTTGGAGATTCCACTATTTTCTGTCAGCCTGGCTTTTTTGGTGATTTGTTCTACATTTTTTTTCTCCAACTCTGTCCAGGACCTTCTGTTGTGATCCTGATCAGAACAGTCAGTAGTGGTAGCTAGGCACCAATTCAGTTGTTTTTCTTGAGTTGGTTTTATTTCACTTGTTAAAAGGCATTTTTATATAGCTATGGACAAACGATATATTTGATACCTCTCTCTCTTTTTGAAGGTTAGGTATGGGGCAGGGGTAGAAGTAAGGCTTGGTCTAAGTTTTAGGGTTACAATTAGGTTTGTTTTACTTATTTGATTTTTTTCTGAAATCAACTTGGATTTCTGCTTCATTTGGAAGTTCTGTAACTACATTATTCCCTCTTACTTTGTGGGGTTTTTTTTGGTTGTTGTTGCAAACTGTTATCACTGGTTCCCTATTTTCAGTCTTGTAGGTTTGTTTTACTTTGAATACTTACATATCTGGGTTGACTTCTGAGTGATAATGTCATGTATGTTAATCTCAGGTTGTTTGCTGTGTTAGTTCTCTGTTTAATGGAGTTTTTTGTTGTTGGTTTTTATAAATTCTTTCATTTCTGTTTATGTGAAAATGACCTAATTTCACCATCACATTTAATGGACAATTTTGCTGAGTATGTGATTATTGGTTGGCATTTTTTCTTCCAGAGTTTTAGATATGTCATCCCATTGTCTTCTTAGATGATGATTTCTACTGAGAAATCAGAGCTTAGTATTATTAGTTCTCCTTTGTAGGTAACTTTTCATTTTTCCTTAGCTACTTTCAGGATTCTTAACCTTGTCATAGGTTTTGGAGAGTTTGATTATAATACATTTTGGTGGTTTTCTTTTGTGGTCTATCCTATTTGAAGTTCATTCAACTTTTTGAGTGGTTTATCTTCTTACCTTTCATGATATTTAGAGAAGTTTTCTTCCAACAATTTTGCCTGTTTTTTTAAAAAGTTTTTTCTGTCTTCCTATTTTGGAATTCCAACCACATTTAAGTTATTCTACTTGATGGTGTCCCACATAAATCTTAGACTTTCTTTGGATTTTTCTTTTTTTTCTGATCGTTCCACTCACAGATGAATATTAAGAGATTTGTCTTCAAGTTCATTAATTCAGTCTTCCATTGATTCAATTCTGCTTCTTTGCCTTTACAATGTAGTATCTTATTTCTGAAGTCTTAGTCCTAATCTTCTGAATTTCTATTTGCCATTTTTATAGGATTTCTAATTTTTATTTTATCAATTTGTATAGTGTTTTCCTGAATTCTTCCAAAGTTGTCTGTTTTCCTTGATTTCATCTGTAGTTTATCTGTACTTTCCTTACTCCATTCTTTTGAATACCTTAAGTAGTTTCTGGTTTTATATTTTCTGACTGTATATTGGTCACTTGTTTGAGACTTGCTGTCTTGTTCTTCATGTAAGTGGTTGTCTCTGAGATATTGTGGTATCTGTGTTGATGGTATGTTTGTTGGTGTATTCTCAGGCCCTTACCACCTCTCTACTGGGGGTTGTGGTAGAATGTGGAAATGTGTATACAGTTCTTTGTTAGCTGCTTATATAGTGTAGTTCAGGGCGAGTTTGTCTGATGTTGGTTGCTGATTGCCATAGATCAGGTGGCACAGGAGTGAGTGGTGACATTTGCCAGTGGGTAGAGCCACAGGAGGTATAGATGTGTGGCTGGGCCGTATGAACACAATTGCTGTCTCCCCAAAACAAATAACAAATGGAAGATCTAATGAGGCGAAATTCATATACCTCCAGATTTGGGGGTGGGGGGTGTTCCCAGTGTTTAATCCCAGGCAAAGCAAAGCTTAAAGAGGATGGTGGGAAATGCCCATTTTACCTTACCCCAGAACTCAATTTTCTCTCCCTATGAAATAGGAGCTCTGGTAGTGTAGTGGTTACGAATCGGGCTGCGAACCTTAAGGTCAGTGGTTCGAAACTACCAGCCGCTCCGCGGGAGAAAGATGAGGCTTTCTACTCCCGTAAGGATTTACACCCTCGGAAACCCTGTACAGGGTCGCTATGGGTTGGCTCCGACTCGAAGGCACTTAACAACAACAACAACATGAAATAGATAAACATGTCCTATATTGAAGAAAAAAAAATTCATTAAGCATTTGATCTTTTTTGTATCTTGTAGTTAAGCTAGTCATTTATCCATTGATTGAATATTTGCGTTTTACAATGATAAAACTTACTTTATTATTGAAATTGTTGTTGTTGTTACGTGTCGTTGAGTCAGTTCCGACCCATAGCGACCCTGCATAGGGTTTCCTAGGAGCAGTTGGTGAGCTTGAACTGCTGACCTTGCAGTTCAAATGGCTTTGCAGTCTGGTGCATTAACCCACAGCGCCACACACACAGCAAAACACTAATTCAGCAATTTCTTCAGTAACTCTGACTGCTTTCCTTTGTGAGTTTAGTTGTTTCTGTTACCTTGTCCTCTGAACAAGGATTCCATAGTTGCTTTATCGGTTTTTTTGTTTTGTTTTTAAGGAACACTGAGCCTGAAGAACAAGACTTTGAGAAGAGTAATTCCCGAAAACGTCCCAGGGATGTTCTTCAGAAGGAAGAGGAGATGGAAGTGGACTACCAAGAAAACTGGAAAGCCTCTGGTAGTCGATCCTACAGTCCTGACCACAGACAGAAAAAACACAGAAAACTTGCAGAGCTTGAGAGACCCCACAAAGTCTCTCATAATCATGAGCGGCAAGATGAAAGAAAGAGGTACCACAGAGTCTCACCAGCTTACTCTTCAGACCACGAGTCTTCTGACTATGGCCATGTCCAGTCCCCCCCATCTTCTAGCAGCCCCCATCAGATGTGTGTGGACCATTATAGATCCCCAGATGAGGATCACGAGCCCATTGTTCTACACCAGAAGCCTGCAAAAGGTCACAGTAATACCTTTCAGGACAGACTGGGGGTCAGTCAAGAACGACACTTGGGTGAATCCCAGAGTAAAGCGGTGGTGAGTCAAAGCAAAGAGTACAGATCTTCCCACAAGGAAAAACGCTTAGCGGATACCAAGAGAGATGAGAAGACCTCTGCTCTGAGCACAGAGAAGTCAGACAAGGCCATTTCCAAAGAGGAAAACCGAAGGCCACTCACAGGCGATGGCACAAGGGAGAAAGCAGCGTCAGCTGGTGCCAAGAAAGAGAGGGAAAGAGAAGGCAGCAGCCTCAAGAAGAAGTTTTTACCCCCATTAGAGGTGGCTTCTGACAACCACCTAAAAAAGCCAAAGCACAGAGACTCAGAGAAAACCAAATCCGACAAAAATAAGTCAAGTTTTTTAGACAACTCAGACATAGGAAAAGGGGCTGGAGACCTATTGCCCAAGGTAAAAGAGAAGGTTCCCAACAATCTAAAGACTCAAGAAGGGAAACTAAAAACTCCCAATCTGGATAAAAAGTCAGTGGGCTCCCTCCCTAAAGTTGACGAGGCAGATATGGATGACGAATTCGAGCAGCCCACCATGTCTTTTGAATCATACCTCAGTTATGACCAGCCCCGGAAGAAAAAGAAAAAGATTGTGAAAACTTCAACCACTGCACTTGGAGGTAAAGGACTTAAGAAAAGTGATTCTAAAAGCACTAGTAAGAACTTGGACTCAGTTAAGAAATTACCTAAGGTGAACGAAAACAAAACCGAGAAGTTGCGACAGTCTGGAGCCGACTCAGCCAAGCTGAAGAAGGTAAGCCCTTGAGCCCTGTGGCGGGCGGCCTTACTTGGAAAACCTCGGGACTTCCAGCCACAGTTTGTCGGCGTGGCTTGTCTTGTCCTGTTTAGTTTCGGCTTACAGTCATCTTTTATCTGGGCCTCACTAGCTACTAGGGGCTGGTTGTACTCAAGTTATGGGTTTTCTGAGGTATCCCATTGTGATGGGCCCATCTTAACTTCCTGACCTGTCTGGTTTCCTCCTGGGGGGTCTATCTGCCGTGTACCCAGTTAACCCTGTTAGCAACGGCTGCACGGAAGAACTGCTTTCATAGACAGGCTCTCCATTCCCTGTCTCTCTTCTCTGCAGATCCCCAGTGATGTATTGCCAGTGTTGCCAGACCTCCCATTACCCACGATACAGGCCAATTACCGTCCACTGCCTTCCCTGGAGTTTATGTCCTCTCTACAACCAAAGCGAAAAGGTAATTTTCCATGTCTTCATAAAATAGAAAATGATTTTTAAAAAACGCATTATTATCAAACCAAAATAGTTATACTAACATCAGATCTTGATGCATGTTCCTAAGAGAACATTTGGGTTTTACGGCTTCGGTACGATGCCAGCTAAAGCTTCTATGAGGGAGATTCAGAAAATTTCATGGGAGATTCAGAAATTTCATGGGGAGGGAGGGAATCCTTTTTTTTTTTTTTTTTTTTCAATTGTGAATTACGTGAAGGTTTACAGAGCAGATCCGTTTTCCCCAGTAAAGTCTTACACATTTTGCTCCTTTTCATTGATTACAGTCCCCACAATGTAACTTCACTTATTCCACTTCCTCCCTGTGTTTCCTGTTTCTATTCCTCCATGCCAACCCTTCTGAACTCTGTCCTTGGGTAAACACAGCCCTTTTGATCTCAAATGGTTGGTTATTCTAAGGTGTGCCTGCTTCTAGTGTTACTGTTCCCTTCGTAGACCTGTCTATTGTTTGGCTGAGAATCGAGCCATGGGAGGGGTGAGTTCCTTTCCAGACCTGAAGGGTGGCTAAGGCCATAGTCTCAGGGGTTCCATGAGACGCTAGCCCACGAGTAAGCCGGGTCTTTTTATGAAAAAAATCCATTTTTACACGAGCTTTTTAAAGTCCCCTTGTATAAGTTATGTGAGCTTGGGTAATTTCTTCATTTGTTTGAGCTTCAGTTTTATAGACTGTAAAATGGAAATAATAATGATTTCTGCCTTAAAGAGTTAAGTGGATGAAAAGTGATTATGCCAGTAAGTGTCTTAGCTCTAGGTTTCCCACAGAGTAAGTGTTCAGTAAATCTTAGCTCCTGCTATTATTAGCACTTTATTCTATACATATGATATGCTTTTTATCTTACAAAAACAAAAAAAAAGTTGTCTAGCTTTAACAACAAAAGAATTAGAGCTCTCTGTCTCATCACCCAGAGCCTAGCAGTTAGATAATCCTGATTCCTCCATACAGTGGTGCCTTATGCAAATGGAAACAATGGAAAGGCTTTGTATATTGGTATGGAATGACTTCTAAAACAATGTAAGTTCAAAAAGCAATGTGTATAGTGTGTATATTATTTATTATTTGGGTAAAACAAAATACATGTTTCCTTATTTTTGAGTGAACTTGGAGGATACACAAGAAACTGGCTGGTTGACTGCATTTGAGAAGGGGATGGGAAGTGGGAGGCTGACGAGTGAGGTGTGGGCAGGGGGTTTGCTGTAAAGCTCAGCACTGTTTGTAATGCACTGTCCTCTTCCTCTGGCTCTCTAGTGCTCTCTTCACCCCAGGAAGAGGAAGAAGCTGGATTTACTGGACGTAGGATGAATTCTAAGATGCAGGTGTATTCTGGTTCCAAGTGTGCCTATCTCCCCAAAATGATGACCTTGCACCAGCAGTGCATCCGAGTTCTGAAAAACAACATCGATTGTGAGTCAGACTCTCCTCTCTTGCTTTCAAGCACACTGTAGCACTGAAGATGTTATCACTGCGTGACTTGGCCACCATTCAACACTTTTCACCTTTGATTCTCTGCAGCAATCTTCGAAGTGGGAGGAGTCCCATATTCTGTTCTTGAGCCTGTTTTGGAGAGGTGTACGCCTGATCAGCTATATCGCATTGAGGAATACAATCATGTGAGTGCCCTGTTTGGGTGAGCAGAGGGCAGTTTTCTGGCTTGTTTTTGTTTATGTGCCATAGCTAAAGGGAAGGCCAATAGGTAGCTCACTCTCTGGGCATTTGTGGTTTGCATCTATACCTTTAAACAAACATATTTTTAACCTTTGTTCTGGCATCTTAAATGGGCCTCTTGGGCAGGTATCAAGGTGGGGTGCAAAGCAAGTGAAAAACACTTCCAGAAGCTTCCTTGAGCTTGTCTGGTCACAAAGGTCAAGGAAGGATTCTGGCAGCAGAGCACCAGGGATCTGGGCAAGGACAGCACTGTGTGTGGACACTCGGGTGTCTGGTGAATGTGAAAGAGCACAGACTGGCTGGCTGCCTCCTAGTGACATCCACCCTGTACTCTGTGTAATAATGCTGGGGTTTACTCATTTGATCGCAGTAGTTGTCTCTTAATGCAGAGGCCGGCTCCCCATTATCGTTCAGTGTATTGCTTGGGGGAATACCTGGATTTAACTTTATCCCAACTCTACCCTTTACCGACTTCCTAAAAGCAAAAGACTGTATCTTAAACCAACTTTGCATTGTCTCCTCTCCCAACCGCACTTCCCCCAGTAGCAACTAGCACAGTGCTGTACACTATTTTTTAAAATTGAGTGCTTTAGGTTTTTTTCTTCTACAGTTATAGTATTTTAATATTACACTACTCTGAGGACCAAGGAGCTCTGGTAGTGGAGTGGTTAAGAGTCAGGCTGCTAACCCCAAGGTCAGCAGTTGGAAACTACCAGCTGTTCCACGGGAAAAAGATGAGGCATTCTGCTCCCATAAAGATGTATAGCCTTGGAAACCCTATACAGGGTCACTAAGGGTTGGAACCGACTCCACAGCATATCACCACCACCACTACTTTGAGGACCAAAAAAATCATTAGAAAACTAGTCACCCCCAGGTGATTAATGGAAGGGGAGAGATCTATATGAGTGATACATAAATATGTATAAATGATGTCCTGGTTTCAGGTGTTAATTGAAGATACAGATCAATTATGGAAAATTCACTGTCACCGAGACTTTAAGGAAGAAAGACCAGAAGAGTATGAGTCTTGGCGGGAGATGTACCTGCGGCTTCAGGATGCCCGAGAGCAGCGGTTACGATTACTGACAAAGAACATCCGTTCTGCACATGCCAATAAGCCCAAAGGTAAAAGGAAGCGGGCTGGAGGGGCCATGTGCTTTGCTCAACGATAGGGTCTTGGTGGACCCAGCTGATACAGGATGCATTTTCTCTTGCATCTGCAGGAGATGGGCAGGGGTGGGCACATCCTTCTGCCGTAGCTCATGCTACTACTCTTTGGTTTATGTGCCATGTGTAGATTGTTTAAGTAACAGCATCTGTACTCAAGAAGGCAGGTATTAATCTCTAGATTTCCCACAGGCCGACAAGCAAAGATGGCCTTTGTCAACTCTGTGGCCAAGCCACCTCGAGACGTCCGGAGGAGGCAGGAGAAGTTTGGAACAGGAGCAGCAGTTGTTCATGAGAGAATCAAGTAAGAGCTCTGCTCCCATGTGCTTCCTGCATGGTTGGGGAAGGGAGCCACAGGGGCGTGCCAGCAACCCTGAGAGACCACCTTTGGGTTGGGAGGGGAAGAATGCGGGCTCTGGAGAAAGGCACTCGGGGGTTGTCATGGCAGGAACTTGGGAAACATTTCCCTTACGCTTTCCTTTTACATGTTTGAACATTATTTTGGGGATGACTAAACTCTTTAAAGCCACATTAGCATTTTTTTATATACAGCTTGACACCTGAACAGTGAAGGCGTACCTGAGATAGTTGTTTATTCTGACAGGCTGCTTAGTCCTCTTTGAGCCACCACCAGGCCCAGGGTCCTGGTCAGTGGCCACAAACCAGCCCTCCAGCTGGCCAGCTGCAGACTGCTAGTGCTCACTCATGACCAACTTGTGTTACAGGATTAAGCCGACTCCAGACTTCACAGGAAGTAGTCATGTTTCCTTCAGCAGCAACAGCTTTAACCCGTCCACTGATGAGCCAGCTTACGATGGCCCAAGCACCAGCAGTGCCCACCTGGCACCAGTGGTCAGCAGCTCTGTTTCCTATGATCCTAGAAAACCAGCTGTGAAGAGTAAGTAACTTGATGTCTTGCTGAGATACTGCACATCATGTATTTAAACCCCCGCAGCATCATTGCCTAGGGTGTACTGGATGTAGCCTGAATGTTGCCTTGTACAGAGCAGGTCTCAGTGCTTCTCTTGCTTTGTCCATATTTGTAACAGTTAAAGTGATAGTCTGTTTTACTGAGTTTTATAGGCTTAACTTGTACCTCCTTGTCTGGTTGTGCCAAGCCTGGAGTAGGAAGCCTTGGCTTTGACAGTGTAAAGTGTGGCAATGTGTTTAAATTGTCAGGGATCTGAAACAACTGCTTCATTTCTCTTTTCACAGAAATTGCTCCAATGATGGCCAAGACGATTAAAGCTTTCAAGAACCGATTCTCCCGACGATAAACTGAGGACTTGCCTGGCAGACAGAATTTGGGTGTTGGAGGAATCAAGGGCAGTGGGGGCTGAAGATGGAACTTCTCAAGGAGACCAGGGTCTTTTTCTGTAAAACCCGGTGGTCTTGCATCCTGCAGATGTCAGGTGCTGCATCTGTGGAAGCTGCGCCCCCGCCCCCCTGCCTGGAGAATACTTCAGAATTCTGAAGAAGATGTGAAACCTCAGTCTCACTGAGGGATTTTAAGGTCAATTATACTTTTGTTGTTAACTAGCCTCTTTGTAAAGTATAAGACATAGTTTTAATTAATAAATATTGTCCCCAGATTGTATTTATATTACCCCCAGTATTTTTTTTTTTTTTTTTTGATCCTCCACCACACACTTGGCCTTTTACTTTCAGAGTCCTATATTAAATTTAGGACAAAAGCCTGGTGAAAGCCATTCCCCTACCACATCAGCCCCCACTGGTGGGAGTCCCGAGGGAGAGCTGCTCACACCCAGAGCCTGCTTGTACCTAGGGAGCAGGGTGTCACCGTCCACTCCTCGCTCGGAGGCCTCTTCTCAGTGTTGCTTTGAGTTCCTATGCAGGTGCGTCTCTTTCTTAATCATCACCTAGTATTTATGATAGGAGGTTATTTGTGAAGGTCGAGTCTTTTCGCCAGTTCCTACCTTTATTTTTGAGGCTCACTGGAGGACACAGAACCTGTGGGAGACTGATTTGCACAGAACCCCAGAATTTTTACAATTTCTAGTTTTTGCCTCAAAATTTTAGAGTTTCCCCCTTCCTTAACTTTCCTTCTCCCCACTAGTATGAGAGGAAAATCCCAGAGACACATGGCAGAGCTTCTTGTGGCCCCAGTAAGACTTTCCAGTTTTAAAAGCCAGCACTTTAATCTCTCATTCCATGTGAATTGCTGCCAGAAGTGAATGGTTTTAAAAGTTGCAATGCTATATTGGAAATTGTTTTTTTTTTGTTGTTGTTTTTTGTTTTTTTTGCCTTTTTCAAAAAAGGTAAGATCATGTGATTTGGAAGAGCACAACAGTTTGCTATGCTTTTTAAACAGCTGAAGCTCACTCTCTCCCCTTTGGGTGTTTAAGGCAGAATTCGGAAGGATGGGCCACCATAGGGCACGTGTCTGAGCTGCTGCATCAGGGTGGTTAGAAACCACCAGGACAGTAGGTTTTGGAACAGAAACTCGCTTTCCAGTTGACACAGGAGTGAGAGAAGGGTAAGCAGGGTGACTTGATGCCCTCTGTGGTTATGGATCAAGGAGGGATCCGGTTGGCTATGACTTAGGTTGAAGTAAATGCTATAAATTTGAAAGACAGGCTGGGCTAGTTAGTGTGACCGTCTGCGGAGCTTTCTCAAAGCCAAGAGTACAGGCCCCCCAGTTTTTAGGCATCCTGAAGGTCTCAGAGACACTAACCTTGAAACTTCCAGAACAGCGTGTTTTTGAGGGGCGCCAAGCTCCACACTGTTCTGTGCGCCTCACTTTGTAGAGTGCCTGCCACAGTGGAACACACATTGCTGTGTTTTCATCTGCTGTGTTTTTAATTGGATGTAAAGCATTATTTCTCTTGATAGCTTGTATTGTCATTCCACCCTTGTCCTGCTCCCCAAATCCGCTAAGAAGGCTTGGGTCAGGTGTGGCTTTCTGTTGCCTAGAATAGCTTCCTCTAGGGTCCCCTACCTCCTTAAATTTGTCCCTTAGCTGTGTGTCTTAAGTCTTTTTCATTGAAACCAGTTTTCCGTATTTTGATTTGGTTGTGTATAATTTAATTTCCTTAATTAGGAAACGTTAGGCAGGAAAGAAAAGACACATATATGAATGGGCTTCGAAAAGTTGATGGAAAATGTAATGGAAAGATAATGCAATTCTTCCACAAACTTGTGAGGCCCCTCGTATTCATCCCATCTCTGGCACCTGGAGGTCCGTTGTTTGCCACTGTTTGCATAGAGCCAGATCTTAGTGTAGTCAGGGCTGTGACTGGTGAGAAGTGAGGAGGCAGGAAGGAGGGGCTGGGAGATGCTGCCGAGCAGATGCAGGATGCAGATGAACTTCCCATCTCATTTGGGAGAACGTATGCAATTTTTTTCCTATGCTACACACACTACATACATCCAAATCACCAATTGCAGATTAACCCTTTGTGATCCTTGGTGTAATGAACAGTTTCTTTGGGGCTTTTTCTTTCTGGGAAGCAGAAGGGAAAGAGCAAGGCATCAGTCACCCTGCTCTGTATTTGTATTTTGGTCCCAAAATGTAAATACAATTTTCTATGTTACTTTTTTGTGGTAACTACCAAGATGAATATTTTAATTAGATAAGTTATATGAAAAGGAAGGAATTCCGTGTCTAAATAAAAAAATAAAATAAAAACCTCACATGCTGACATCTTTCTTCCTTTCTCATTGTGTGTCAGACAACTGAAGTTGGGCACAGACTGGTTCTTCTGCTCAGTGCAGAAATATGAATCCGCTGGTTAAGCCTGAAAGATGTAAGGTTTCTATTTGTGGATTAACGATACTGGGACGGGAATTCAGTGGGAAATCCTAGCGGGCAAGGGAGCGAACCCACTGTACTTAGCACATACTAGAGACCAGACAGTCTTCTGGAACCCTGAAAATGAATGATCATTTTCTAACCATTGGAGGGTAAGAGGGTAAAATAACAGGGCAAAAGCCAAAGACTAAGTGGCGAAAGAAAGGACTAGGAAACCTGATTCTTTGCACAGGTGCACCACTACGCCTCGCCATCTCCTTGGGGTTGCAGAAGGTCCAGGTGGGTCTCCTCAGCCACACTGGCATCCTAACCAGAACATAATGAACACTAAAGGGAAGGTCAGATCAGTGAGGGATTAAGAAGAACGTGCTGTGGTGGTCCTGGCTGAGGTATAAGCCTATCAGCGTTTGTTAAAGTTAATGCGCCACACAGTAAGTGCACTGGGTCTCACTTCAAACCTGTAACATATCAGGTGCTATATCAGGGATGATGGTTTCATTATCCCTGTTTTCTCTCTTGTAATAAATAGAACACCAAAAGGGAAGGACACGGCCAGCATTTCTCAAGCTGAAAAAAACTGAGGGAAAAATTTAAGCCTCGTGTTGAAATACTGAAGGATTCTTTGGGCAAAATATTAAATGATGCAAAAAACATCAAAAGAAGATGGAAGGAATACACAGAGTCACTGTACCATAAAGAAATGTTCAGTGTTCACCCATTTCAAGAGGTACCATATGATCAAAAGCCAATGGTACAAAAGAAAGAAGTCCAAGGTGCACTGAAGGCATTGGCAAAGAACAAGGTACCAGGAACTGATGGAATACAAACTGAAATCAATAAAGTGCTGCAGCACTTGAGGCACTCACTTATCTATGCCAAGAAATTTGGAAGACAGCTACTTGGCCAACTGATGGGAAGAGATCCCCATTTGTGCCCATTGCAAAGAGACAGAACCCAACGGAATGCAGAAATCACCAGACAATATCATTCATATTACATACAAGTAAAATTTTCTAAAAAGTTCAAAAACAGCTGCAACAACAGTACATTGACAGGGAGCTGCCAAAGGTTCAAGCTGGGTTCAGATAAGGACATGGAACAAGAGAGATTATTGTTAAATGATCTTGGCTGAAAACCAAGAATATCAGAAACTGTGCTTTATTGACTATGCAAAGTCTTACGACTGTGCGGATTATGACAAGCTATGAACAATGCTGTGGAGAATGAGTATTCTGGAACACTTAATCATGCTCACGAGGAACCTGTACACAGACCAAGAGGCAGTTACTCGAATAAAACAAGGGACACTGAATGGTTTAAAATCAGGAAAGGTGGGCACAAGGGATGTATTCTCTCAACATACGTATTCAATCTGTATTCTGAGCTATACAGGGTAGATAGGGATGGACAACTTAGGCACTGGCTACTTTAAATGAGGGGGCAATAAAGGCACAATGTGACGGGCTTACAAGGTTTCAAGAGGGAGTTTAGTTTAAGAATGTGCGGGGAAAGATAGAATCCCCACTGAGTAGTTTTCATCTTGTCTAGATGAGTCTGGTGAAAAGAGATAGGGATAAGATTCTTATGATTCAATAGTAAGTAAATGTCATCATGACTAATTGCAATTGTCACA